GAGAGGATCACTGCTGACCCCTCACACCCCGGATACAATCTGTTTGAACTCCTCCCCTCTGGACAGCGTTACAGGTCACTGTGCACTAGGACAACCAGGCACAGGGAGTTTCTTCCCTCAGGCTGTCACTCTGATGAACACTTAACCCACGACAGTATGACTGGAGAATAACCCTCAGTATAATACATGTAAATATACATTGTACAGATTATACAGACTCGTACAGGTCTCTAGTACTTTGTTTTAAGTGCTCTATTTTTATTTCTAATTATCTCATTTCAATGAACATTCCCTTGTCTGCATTGTTTACTGTCTATTTATACTGCTTTTTCTGCATTGTTTGCACTGGTTGTTGATGTTAATACTGCTATTTTGTTATATTACACAGCCTTATGCTGGTCTACTCTTTGCACATTGAGAGCGGATGTACCAGAGTCAAATTCCTCGTGTGTCCAACACACCTGACCAATAAACTGATTCTGATTCACTAAGGTTGGTGCATAACCCTTTATGCTGCTCTCTCAAAGCCAGAGAATTCACATTCTCAAGTTCCTATGACAACTACTACAGTACTTTCTGTACCATATAAAACAAGCACTGTCATGTTTTCATAAGTTTGGTATTGACTTGGTACTGCAGTATCGGTTCTCACGACATTCCTAATCCCCAACACTGCAAAAATCACGAGTTTGCAAAGAAGAACAAAGTCAAAACTATGACCTGGCCCTTGTCCTGAAGCCAAGAAAACACCCCTGTAATGCTTGTTATTGGGGGGATGTACGGTGACTTTCAGTCCAAGGTGGCGGACGCGTAGCTCCGCCGCTGGTGTTGCACTGCAACGTTCACTTTAGTGCCACTACCTGGCAATTTACGTTATTTGCCCACCTCCGCAAAAACCGATTTTATCCGGTTTGTTACCGTTGTACCACCGGATTGTTTACGTTACTAGTTTTAAAAACAACGGTTAAACACAGTTTGTAATGCTAGCTAAAACATGTAACTGTTAGGTATTTTTTAGTCAGATAGAAACTGGTTAGATACTTGTATTAGAAATGTTTAGTGGAGACAGGATGTCTAGGTAGGCTGTTAAATGCTTAGTCATTCTCATGGGTTTTTAGCAGGGTGCATATGGTCAAGGATAACTAGAGAAAAAAGTTTGATTGTCAGCAGGCAGGATGATTATTGTTATTATTATGATATGTTTAACCGTAATTGTAATCATAATATTTTCTTATGTTTAATGTCATGACATGTCACTAGATGTCATGTCAGAATGTTCTTAGATACACACCACATAATCAACACTCACACACATTGATTCGCTCCATGTTTTGACTACTGCTATGGTCAGCTGTAAAGCTGGCATATCAGGTGATGCCACGGTTTGACGTCCCTGTGTAGTATGGGGCTAGCCCAACCGAAGTGATAAAATGTATAGGCTATTGTGGTTCAGGGTCTTTCATTCTTCATCTGCCTGCGCGCAGGATTGGAGGTGGAAGATATCTGGACGTGTAATGTTAATTTTACCAGTGATTATTTATATATCCAAATGGTCCGCTTCGTCTCTCTGAGTTCCTGGTCAAAAGAACCGAAAAACTGCTTTCATAACTAAGAACAAATCTTAGAGCAATTGTAGTTTCTACTTTTCCAGATTTTTATATCTATTAAGTCCAGAACATTGACCCGTTGATCGCTGGGACCAGAGGACGAGTCCGCTTCGTGCAGTTGTGTGGGCTCGTTGCCCCGGCAGTAGCTGTCCTGCTTCTCTGCGTTTATTCCGCTCTTGTCATTGTCCTGCTCCATGTAATCCTGTTCCTGGTTCTCCTCCATTATTTCACTTTTGTAGTGGTCCTGATTCTGGTTCTCTTCTGTCATTCCAGTTACGTAGTGGTCCTTGTCGACGAAATCCTCTTGTTTTTCCTCTTTTATTTCACCTTTGTAATGGGTCTGGTGAATGAAATCTGGATCGTGATTCTCGTCCTTCATTTCGTTATTGTAGTCGTCCTGGTCGACGAAATCCGGTTCTTGTTTTTCCTCCTTTATTTCACCGTTGTAATGGGTCTGGTGAATGAAATCGGGATCTTCTTTTTCCTCCTTTATTTCAACTTTGTAGTGGGCCTGGTGAATGAAATCTGGGTCGTGATTCTCGTCCTTCATTTTGCTCTGGTCCTGGTCCATAAAATCCAAGTGATTTTCAGTTTGTCGACGCTCATCACCCTCGTCATCTCGCGATCCTAGGTATTCTCGCGGTCTCGCCCTCTAATTGGCCTATAGGGGCGTAACCTGAGTGACATATCGCGAGGACGTGGATGCAGTCACGTAAATGGAGGAGCATGGATTGAGGCAGTCTGCACTCCGCACCCGGACCCTTTTTCATCACTAGACCCTCGCTATGCTGCGCCTACATACTGAATGCTTTTGAGATTTTTGTTTTCTTTTTTTTTTGCTTTTTAGATATGATAAGGCTGCCTGAAAAGCCATAAATAAATAGCATCTAAGCGGAAATAGTAGCATTTCAGAATAAAATCAACACGACTCAAACGCGACTAAAACCCGGTCTTAGAGGTCATACAGTTCTACAGTTCAAACGTACAATGGCAGCACTGACATATAACGCATGGATGTATATTTAGTACTGTGTTGACGCACATTAACTGTTATCACACATAAGCCAACGAGTCCTTTATTTTGAAAGGGGAAGCGAATGCTCATGCATTGTGGGCTGGTTTAATGACACAGTGAGGTCGTCTCTTGCAGAAACCTGGGACTCTCTCGTTAATAGAAACTGGGCGACCTGTGATTGTGTTTGTGCGGAGCTGCAGTCCCGATAAACTCGGAGGGATTATATAACCACAACCCGTTTTACAGCGGGTCTTTACTTTAAAACCGTCCGAGTGTGCAGGAACACAAATGGGTGAAAAGGAGCAGAAAGGCCCAGGCGGAGTCAGATATTACAGACTGTCGGAGATCGAGGGGCAAAACACATTCAAATCAACGTGGATCATCATCCACAACAAAATCTACGATGTCACCAGGTTTCTGGAAGAGGTGAGGAACTGAGTGAAGTTTGGGGACGTTTCTGTCAACGACAGCGTGTGGACTCAATTACAGCCGGAAATAAAGCAAACACACACAAACATTTAACCAAGTAGCTGTCTTTTCCCGATAGGAAATCACTTAAAATTGATGCATGGTTGGCTGCAAAAGTGTTGGTTGAAGCAATGCAATTTGAGAGGCTGCAGATTCGTGGTTGCTGTACTTAGTTCAGTGTTTAAGGGGTCTAAGAAATCTAGAAATGAGAAGACACCGGAGCCGAGTCCTGTCCCATAATCACGTAGCTCTGTCAGAGTCTCGGTGCGGCCAAAACTGGGTCATATGTTTGCTCAAGTTTTAAAAAGGCAAGACCACGTCATACTTCTTTTATTAAATACTTTAAATTTCTTCTTAATCTTAAATGTAGAAATGTAGTGTGTTTGTTTACATTATTATTACACATTTCTATATTAAAAGAGTCAAAACCATTTTATCATCAGCCCCGATCTAAAGCATTTAAAGCCTATTATGTCAAAACAGTCATTTCGAGATAATGAAAAAGCGGAGACCTTTTTTCAGACCTTGAGTAGGCCTGGCTACATTTGAGTACTTATTGATAACAAGTACCGATAAAAGTACTTAATAATAGCTTGATGCAGTGTCTCCACTATAAACATTGGTCATCATTCCACCAGTGTGAGGTTAAAGCTGCCATTAAATGGTTTTGATGTGTAGTGCCTTAACTACTAGCCTACCAGGGACGGCCAAAGAAAGCCACTTTCGGCTTTTCCCGTTCAGGTGTCGCCACAGCGAATCGTCACACTGTCGACATTTAGACCCAGACACCCTACGCCCTTGAAAAGTTTCAGGTTTACCTGGAATGTTTGTCATGTTGCCTTCCTTGTGTTAGGTAATTTCTTAGTTAGATAGATATTGATTAGAGATCTGTTGTATTAGAAGATGTTAGTGCAGCCAGGATGTCTTCCTCAGGCTGTTAAATGCAAGGTTAGTTAAAGCAGAGAAGGGCTGCAGTCAGGGACAAATGTTATGATGGTAAAAGTAACCATAATATTTTTCTTAATGTGAATTGTTGTGTTACAGTGTTTTTAGATACACACCACATAATCAACATTCACACACATTATTTTCTTCATGTTTTGTCTACTGCTCTGCTCAGCTGCCAAGCAGATGCCTGGACGTGTAATGTTAATTCTTGCCTGTGACCCTTTGAATAAACCAGCACGGTTATATTTTTTTATATACTCAAGTGGTCCGCTTCGTCTCTCTGAGTTCCTGGTTGAAAGAACCGGACGTGGCTTTATAATAGAATAGAGCCTTTACTTGTTTTCTAATTTAATTAGTGAGTAATCCGACTTCCACACCGAAAACGTGGAGCTAGGTAGAGTGGTGGTGGTGGTGGGGGTGGGGGCTGATAGTTCATTTCTACCCTAAGGCCCCCTAACAGGTTAACCCAGCCCTGCTAGGGGCCCCAGGATAATGACACACAGGAACTGTCAAAGCAACGGTACAAACAGTCAGCTCCACTATCAGCCGACTTCTGAGCATAAACCCAATTTAAAATCCTTAAAACAATATATTTTGGGCTAAACATATCAGAATGTGATTTTGTGCTGATTCACTGGTTGCAGGTCAAAGAACTTTATAACCTCTGTGATAACAGGAAGTGTAAGTGAGAGTGCTGAGCAGACAGCAGCTTTACCCAATTCTCAGCTGTGCTTGTACCCAGAATTAGCAAATTACAAAACTGTGGAGAAAGGAAACCTTTGTGCAGCTGCTTAGAGGAAGTCATTGGAAAACTGCAGCACCTCAGGGCAAAGCTGTACGTTATCACTTTGGACTTCTGACCTTTGACCAGGGACTTCACTTACAATAAATGCGAATGATTTCATGTTTGCTGCCACAGTGGTTTTGCTGTACATATGTCACGGCGTGGGCATTAACCCTGTTTCTGTGAGATTATCACTGGGTTGTACCGACTCATGTTACAGCTCAAGAAGCCTATTATTTACTGCTCACAATGGACAGCAAAGAATGGATTGTAGGACTCTCGGTGGTGGTTCGTCCTCCTGCTCCAGACGAGTGCAGGGATGAGTGGATCCAGGTGTTTTCCAGGACGAACGCTCAGACAAACACATCTGTGTGCTACCACTTTCAGAGCTCTGGCCTTGTGTTGTAGGCTGTGATAAATCATTGCCAGTGTGCATTGCTGAATCAGGACAGAGTCCACATAATATAACGATACAGCAGAACCAGCTCAGCTCTCTGCCTGGTGCACCTCTCCACCAGGCCCCTGCACCGGCTCTGTAACAAGAGCACAGCACTGCATTAACAAGGTGAAGCATTACATCACTGAATCGGGATGTTTAAATAGTGGAATTAATTAAATCGCCCCCTGACCTGAACCTACTATATATAATAACACAGTTGGTGCTTAATATATATGAATAGGCTATAAGAAAACGTAAAACATATCGGCAGCTTCAATAACTAATGAGATTAATGCTTTAACGTGGTGTACAATGTCAATAGGGCCAGTGATACTCAGCATTTCTCTTCTGGTTTGCAGCCACAGTCTCTGTGTGCACGTCACAGTCTGACGTCTCTTATTCCTCTGTCCTTCATCACCACGAAAACACTCACACTGAAGGTTATTCTGACTCAGTGCCACCACACTGTCCACTCACTAGTGGAAATGTGAACTAATCCGCCACTGAAAATAGTCCCTAATACATGCACTGTTCCTCCGGTTTGTTTGATCAAACTACAGTGAGCAGTTCCACAGATGTTTGTCCTTGGAGAGAGCCGCTGGGCTCTGGCTGAGTGGACGTACTGAGAGATGGACTAACAGTGCTGGTTCGGGGGTTACATGGAAGTTCTGACATAAAAGTAAAAGAACACGAGTCAACACTGTGGATTGTACATGATTGGTTTGATTGTCAGAGATAAAATTTAATTATCAAAATACTTCTTAGCATCTGAGATGCAGCAGCTCAGCTGTTACTGCGACTTCGTAGCTACATTAACATTTAATCTCCTTGTTTTGCTTAGAATCAAAAAAAGATACGTTTTTCCTGTGGTTGTGTAACAGAGAATCATTGTTACCGTTTCCTCTGCTGAGCTATAAACAGTGAACCAGCATAATCGAAGAATGACTCACAGTGTGTTTGGCCTCAGCACCCAGGAGGAGAGGAGGTGCTGAAGGAGCAGGGAGGAGGAAACGCCACCGAGAGCTTCGAGGACATCGGCCACTCCACCGACGCCAGAGAATTGGCCAGCAGCATGGTGATCGGAGAGCTGCACCCGGTCAGTCTGTGTGTGTGCATGTTCACAGAGGTCAAGTGTTACAGCGCAACAGCAGCTGAGGACATAAACTAACAGTGTGTCTACGGGTCTGTCTGCAGGACGACAGAGACAAGATCGCCAAACCTGTGGTAAGTGACGGAGCCTGATGTGAACCTGGGTGGCGCCAGAGGCTAGCGTCAGCTTGGCCTGTGGCACTTGACATTTAGAACAAAGCCTGTGCAACCAAATGGAGGTATGGAGTTTGACAGACACATCTCCTTACCAGGCAGAAAGGGTCTAGTGAGCTGCGGAGGTGGCAGCTTATCAGGCCCCTCCATCCTATTTACAGTGCATCAGTGAGGCTCAGCTAAATAACAACCACCTGTCTGAGCTGGTGGTGCAGCACTGATGTCTGTGGCTTGTGTTTTACAGGAAACACTGGTGACCACTGTGAAGCAGGAGACCAGGTAAATCTGTTTGAGCACCTGTCACATCTTTACTTTCTAACTTCAGACTCCAGAACATCTCCAGGGGCCACATTAACTTTGTGGACACAGTATGTGTGCAGACGGTCTTAGTAGGACTGGTATGGTGAAGTGAAATGGGTCTGTCTTGCAGCTGGACCAACTGGTTGATCCCTGCTGTGGTGGCGGCCATCGTTACGCTGATTTACCGCACCTACATCGCAGAGAGCAACTGACATCATCGGACGTGCTGCTGTGATGTCATCAACAGTCCCATTTCCCAGGTTGTGATTGACAGCGGCATTAGCGGAGTGAACGACCAGCTGCTACGGACCAACGACCGCCTGAGCCTCAGAGGGACATCGTCGCTGTCCCCCCCACAGTACCCCGAGCATTTCATACTGCTTGACCAACCGATCACATGGCACTGTGTCAATGAAGTCATTTCCACTGTTGAATATATGCTGACATATATGCAATGTGGATGTTTCATAAAATTCTAACGATCTGAAATCTTGTACACGTGCAGTGGATGTGTAGTTTGTTGCAGGTATTTATGTCAGTGTAACAGAATTTAAAGAAGCTTCTAAACATTTCATTTGTATGACTGATCTCATGGGCCTGAGTCTAGAAAACTCTGAGTCACAGACAGAGTCCACCAAGCAAACGGCAACGGCCTGCAGGGTGTCATCGGCCTGCAGGGTGTCATCGGCCTGCAGGGTGTCATTGGCCTGCATGCCCTAGGTGAATGTGACTTGTCATCGATCGCAACCTGTCATGGAGAATTTGGTGAAAGCTTGTGCTCAGGGTTGTGCAGGCGAGCTGCTTCTAGCAGAGGAAACCGAACAGTGAAAAATTCCCAGCTGGTCACAGACCGGTCTGTGCTCAGTGGACATGGAAATGAAGTGGATGAAAAGAGGACGACAAACCAGGTGCAAAATACACAGGGCTATGAAGACAAATTCAGAGTTTAGAAACTTGACAGTATAACTTTTGCATAAGACTGTATAATGTATTTTTTTTCCTGCTGTTAATTAACCCTCAGTTATAGTCGCTCTCCGTGTGCTGTGCGCACTGGAAACTACTTTCTAAATGAGCTTGTATTCAATTTTTAAAACAGTTTTTTCATTTGTTGTTCCAAGTGTTGTCCTGCATGACATCTGCTGCAGGGCAGACTGAGCTCAGGAGCAGTGTTCCTAATATTCTGAGCCTCTCATATATGTAACCCGGGAGGGCAAAAATATAGAGACACCTTTGAATATAATGTCGTCCAGTACAACACCACCTTTAACTACAACCTCTGTAACAAACATATGACTGAATTTATACATTTATGACAATTTCACCAAAAATAAAACGTCAAGCTTTATCACCACAGACGTTAAAGCGGGAGTGTAGCACTGAAGGGCAGACAGCTGTACAGGTGTACCTAATAAAGTGGCCTGTGGGCGCATTTCCCACCAGGCCCAGTTCAATCAAATACTGACAAAATGCAACAAAACAAGAAAAATTAGATGCCAAACAGCTACAAAGAGAGACCAAACCAGCAACTGGACCACAAAATGTCCCAACGACAGAGACACAACTGGTTTCAAATGACAAGAAAACAAATGCAAACTAATCCCAAGAAGAACTAGACTGACTACAAATCACACAGTTGCTCCATCTGAATTAGTGTCGGAGGGTGGAGCCCGTTGTCTTGTTTAAACCTGGGGCCTATTTCAAGAAGGCGGTTTTGTCGAAACTCAGAGTTTGTTAACCCCGAAATGAGGGAAACTCTGAGTTTTCGGTTTCAGAAACGGAGGTAACTTAAACCCGTGAAAGCGGGGTTAGTTAAACCCATTTCACAAAGAGAGGTAATCTAAACTCAGAGTCAGTTACTATGGCAACTTACTCTGTGAACCTAACCTGCTTGGGAGCAGGTTTTGTTCGGGAAACTCAAGAGTTTCCTCCGGGTCTCCGCCCCTTTTTAAAGTGAAAGGTGTTTAATACCTCATTTAATCTTTCAGTACATTCATAGATTGCACACGTTTCCGTCACGCAGAGACCAAAATGGCGTGTCCATTCATAGAGGATCCTGTAGATGAGGACGCTGTATTAATTCGCAGGGAATTGCATTTACGTCGGGAGAGGATATTGAGGCCACGAGTTGATTTTTTGTCATATCCCCATGTATTTTTATTTGAGCGGTACCGTTTTTCTAGAGAGTCCATAACATATATCAATAATCTTATCCACCCATACATCAGACACATCACCCATCGTGGCCGTGCTCTTACATCCGAGCAGATGCTTTGTGTTGCGTTACGATTTGTTGCAAACGGCAGTTTTCTTTATAACATCTGGGATGCAGAGCACATTAGTAAGGCCACAGTATGTAGAATAGTTCGGAAAGTGTGCCTCGCCCTCAAGCGCTTTCTGTGAATTTTTGTTGTTTCCTGGGCACAAACCCCTCAGAGCCATTAAAGAGGAGTTTCACAGGATTGCAGGTTAGTGGTATTGAATTCGTTTCAGTAAGGCTACTCTGACAAATGATGATCAGTTAATAACATCTTGCTGTGACCTCTGGAAATAAACTAATAATTAGAATCCCCTTCAGGATTTCCAAATGTGGTTGGATGCATTGATGGCACACATATTCCCATCAATGCACCTACATGAAAATTAAAATTCAATTCTTATATTATTACATCAGTGTTGGGTCAATTTTTAAAAAAGTATTTTGATTAATGTAATACTTACTCTCCATAAAACGTACTGGATTATTTATTAATCATTACTTTACAAATCCCATATCAACCACAATAGGAATTTTAAGAAAGGGTAGACATAAAACTGCACTTTTAATTCGTACAAAAATCGGTATTTTATGCAATTACTGAAGTTACTCATTCAATTATTGAAGAATTAAGAACCATTCCTTACTTTACAAGTGACAAATAATAACATTACTAACATTATTTAGTAATTACTTACACCGAACACTGTATGATTAAAATGTAAACGTACGCATTGACTCGGGCAGCTATTTTCCCCCAAGCTAACTCTCTCTCTTTCGCCGCTGCAGCCGTGTTGTTTTTTTGTTGTTTTTTTTTACGAAATATGGGCTCGTAGTCACTATATGCTTGTAGTAGCACATCCTGTAGTAGCACATTTCTGTCTGGGAAAAACGCAGACCTATTTTGGCTTGGTCCTGTTGCCATGGTGACTCGTAATTTCTTCACTCCATTGTTCAGGGCTTTTTATAGTCGCGTGGCACGCGCCTAACTCTGAGTCAGACAACTCAGAGTTGATTAAACCAACTCTTTTCAGCTGTTCTGAAACCGAAAACTCCGAGTTTTCCAACTCTGGGTAAGTCAACTCAGAGTTCAGGTTTGAACTCTGAGTTTGTTAAACCGCCTTCTTGAAATAGGCCCCTGGTTGTTTGTTTCTCTGATGAGACAAACAATAAACCCAGATGTGTTTCTGACTCTGAGGCCAAACTCACACAAACCTCCCACACAGCAGCTCAGACTCCTGATGTTTCAGACTCCTTGTCTCCAGATCCCTCTGCAGAGCCATCTGAACATGATCCCAAATCCCAGGGCTCATTTGTTGTCTCAGCTGGTTCTGCGTCTACCTGCCTCCTCAAATGACAGCCCTGGGACCTATAGTGCTGAGTCTGGTTAACTTAACACTGCTGTGGTTAAACCTCAACTTAAGAAAGCACAGTTTGATCCAAAGTCTCTGAAGAATTATCAACCAGTGTCTAAGTTGCCACTCTTTACTGTACAGAGCTGGCTCTCTTTGCAGGTGTCAGGGCCTGTCGCTCGCTACCTGCTGCTCAGTGGCGCTCAGAGGAGGGTCTCGCCCAGGGAGTAATGTAGAACCGCCACTGCTGCTGCTTGATGTGGATTCCACCTCTGAGCTTCTGTGGCCGGATTTCAGTCCACGTTGAAACTGGACCACCTGAGATCAAAACGTCATATAGTGCGCCAGTGGACTTCGCTTTGAAAACATCAGAGATGGGAATATTTCTCAATGCATGGAAACATTTCTGACACAATAAATACTACTGTTACTCTATTGGTTCTTTTAGAAAATAACCCAATTCTTTCGTTGGAAGCATGAGAAGTGAGGACAGGAGAGGACTGTTTAAAATCAACAGAAAGTTTACTGAAAGTCTGATCACAGGAAAGTCTTACAGCGCTGGATTCAGAGAGATAGAGCTCCCGCAGGAAAACCAACTTCTAAATCTCAAATCATGTTTTACAATGCATTTTATCTTCTTGTGCTGCTCCGCCCTGGACAGAGGTACAACATTCAACAGCTTTTGATCCTATTGTCCATTTGGAGTGAACCGGAGCTCCCCCTTGTTTCGATGTGGTAAAGTCTAGGTATGTGTGTGTGTGTGTGTGTGTGTCTCATGTGGTAACTTGGTCTTGATCAAGCACACAGAACAATGGGTTGACTGGGTTGCAGGCCCCCTATGTGTGTGTGTGAGACAATAAGCATGCTAAACTGGCCAAGTGGTCATCTCAGATGATGAGAATGCATGTGTGTGTAAGACACCCCCT